TTCTCTCTCTTCCAGGGGAAAAACCTTCACCTACCTAAACCTGTTGTGTGTCCATTTTGTTTTTTAACGTTTTTAAAAAAATTATCCATTTTACATTTTAGGCACTTTTAAATTATATATATATATATATATATATATATATATATATATATATATATATGATTTCATAGAGGAAAGGAGAGGGCGAGAGAGATAGAAACATCAATGATGAGAGAGAATCATTGATCTGCTGCTTCCTAGGAGCATGCCTCCCACTGGGAATCGAGCCCACAACCCGGCATGTGCCCTTGACTGAAATTGAACCCAGGACCCTCAGTCCACAGGCCAACGCTCTTTCCACTGAGCCAAACCAGCTAGGGCTGCTTTTAACTTTTATACCATTCATGGGGGCACTTAACTTGTATTACTTTTTTTAAAATTTTAGATAAAGGGGAAGAGAGAGAGAGAGAGAGAGAGAGAGAGAGAGAGAGAGATCAATTTGTTGTTCTACTTATTTATACATTCATTGCTTGTTTCTTGTATGTGCCCTGATCAGGGATTGAACCCACAACCTTGGTATATCGGGACGATGCTCTAATCAACTGAGCTACCTGGTCAGGGCTTATTGTTGAACTTTTTAAGTGATGATGTGTTATGTATGATGGCCCTAAAGATGAAGCCTACAGGGGTTCTCAGTGAGTTGCGGCTGTTGGAACATAAAATAATATTAGTGTGTTGTTACCATCATTTTGACATAGAGTAGAAATAAGAGTGTGTTGTTGCTACATGAAACTTGTTTCATATATACTAGTATGTATGTATATGAGACTGGATCAAGATGTCACAGTCTTACTGTGTGCCTCGACCAAAAAAGTTTGAAGATCACTAGTTTAATCTGTACCTGACAAGCTATTTAATGACGTGTATGTTCAGTCTTTGGAGCTTTGGTGCCCCTTGCACAAAACAGAGGATGCTTTCTCGTCCTGCTACAGAGTAGTTACGATGGAAAATAATCTTCATGTACTCATTCTTTGGTTATCCATATGTGTGCTGTTTTAGTTGTTACTCATGCTGATATTTCAATATGGACAAAGTTCCATCCAAAATCTCTAAATTGTTTCAAAATTACCCCTCTTTTCCTCCCAGCTGTGCACTTAGAGAATACACTCTTGTAGATAATCTTAGTAGTAAAAAAGGAGTCTTAGGGTCTGAGGCAAACAGAGCATTGAAAGTACTTAAGAATTAAATAGTAGCCTAAGCGAAATATAATTAGAAAGTCAACTCTGCTAACAAACAAACAAAAAAGGATCTAATGTATTCCAAAATCAGATAGAAGTTATTTTTGGATTATGCATGTTATTGTTCCCTTCCATTATCTTGGATCATAAAACACGAAATAGATCTACAAACATACTGTTTCTAGTGAAATATAATTCCTTGATTTCCTTCCTCCTATTGTGCTGAATACTCTTTTCCTTTCAAGTCTTTGTTCATCTAATTAATCTTAGCCACATTACCCATCTTGTGCTACTGTCCTATGCCTCAAGCCATAAACTCTACTTTTCAGTATTTTTTTTTCATATTTATATACTATCATCAGTGATTATTTAGTTGCCAATGGCCTTTTTGGTTCTTACTCACTTTTCTTCTCTGATTCATTGATCCTCTTGCCCAGCCTGTCTCCACTGAAACCTTCTTCTTCCTTTCATTCTGTCCCTCAATTCTGGTGAACCTTTTCAGGCTTATTTTCTCTAACCCCATGTTGCATCTCGGCCTCCTTCTCTGAGTCTGTTGCTTCCTAGAATGGACATGCTCTGCCATCCATTGATCCTGTGATTTTCTCACTCTGCTTTCTCCCTCAGGAGTCCTATCTACTTTTACAAGCTCCCTGTCATCTTCATGAACATGACCCCCAGATCTTTTTCCAGCCCTAGCCTCTAAACCTCTATTGCCAATTCCTGTTCTGAACTCTCCTCTTCATCTGAAATGTAGTGTGTTGTGTTATATTAATTCCTCCCATTCCTCCTAAACACCTTAACTAAGCTGATTTACAATACGTATCATCATAGAAAATTTAGTCTTTAGACCTAATATTCCCACTCAACCAGACTTGTCCTGAGGGAAAAAGTACTAAGAGGAAAAAAACAACTATACTCTGGAGCCAAATTTCCTAGATTTAAATTCTACCTGTGCCACTTACTGTGTGTGACCCTGGCAAATTATTAACCAATCTCTGTGCCTCGGTAAAAGGGGGGACTATAATAGTAAAATAGGGACTATAATAGTACCTAACTAAGGTAGGATCTCGTACGGATTAAATGAATTACTATATAAAGTACTTATATCAGTACATGAACATAGTAGGCACTCTGTAAATACTAGCTATCATAAAGGGGCTCATTTAGCTTTATTTAGAATATTTAAAAAGTGGGAACAATCTAGAAGGAATGTTTACATAAAATTACTAGATCAGTTTGATGGAATATTATGTAACAAAGACCGTAATTGTGAAGCGTATGATAACTTGGAAAGTGTGTATGCTATACTTAAAAGAGTATTTTTGGATAGATTGGGGCATGATGTTTCCTCCCTCCCCCTTATTGTTACAATGTTTATGAAAATATAAAAATCCCAGAAAAAGAAAAAAAGTTCCTCATCTAAGTTTGCTTTCAGTATTACCATCACTCTCTTCAGTGTGAAATTTGAGTCATTCTTGACTTTACCCCCTTCCCCCACAGCCACTCACTAAGCCATTATGTTTCTTAAATTTATTTTTTTGTGTTCCCATTACTGACAGAGACGTATCCTCCTAACCTTAAATCTACAATAGATAGACTATTGCAGTAATCTTTTTGACTTGTTTCTTTTTTTCTGTTCTATCTTGTACAATATCACAGACTAATTTTATAAGTTACCATTTTGTACCCATTATGTTTCCTGCTCAGAAATCTTTGTTCTTTAGAGATTAAGTCCCCAAATTATTAGCTTGGCACTTAAAACCTGCTGTGGTCAGCCCCTTTCCTGCCTTTCCAATTTCATCTGTTAGCTATTGTCGTGAAAAAAATCTCTGGTTCCAGCCTTATAGGTCCTCTTCAGATTCCTACCACGGTGCCTTTGCTCACACTGTCCTCCTGCCTGGCTTTGCCTAGCCCCTTCTCTCACGCCTCACTCTTTCTTCAGTGACCCCTCCTCTTGAGGCCCTTTTGACTCCTTGAGTTCTTACTGATTATACCTGCCTCTAAACTCCTATAGTACTGATTGGATATAGCAGTTATTTATAATGATTTGTTACTTGTATGTGTATATCCTTTATCTATAAATACATGGTAGGTTGTTGAGATCAGGGGTGAATTTTTATGTTCTCAGCACACAGCAAGTGCTCTCACTATGTGTTTTTTGAGACATAGAATCGATATGCTTAGTTAAGGTAGCCTATATTTGTACAAACTAGTTTTCAGATTTAAAACTTAACCATAGTAAAGGAAAATGACCCTAGGGTTTTCAGGGAAGCTGTGAGCTCAGCATAGATGAATACAGTTTTAACACTTTAATAAAAACCAATCCCTGGGTCCATTCTGAGTTCAAAGGCGTTTATTTGGCTTTTGATTATTCAGGGACCCAAAATTCTGAAATGCAGTTCCTTCTGAGATCGCCTTACAAGGTGAATGACACCCAGTTCCCAGGGTTGTCAGAATGAATATTTTCGTTCTGACATGGCCTATGGTATTAACCAGGAATTGGAGTTAGCAATGAGCAAATTTATTAATTTAAGGAAGATCCTATTTCATAGTAATTTTCCCAGTAGGAAATCTTTAGGAGATATAATATACTGCTTTGAGTGGGTATGAAACCAAATGGTTTGAGATTAGTATGAAATTTTAAGTTTCCGTTTAATTTCCTTAGCGCCAGCAGAGACTTCAGAAGGAACGCCTCATGAATGACTTCTCTGCAGCCTTGAACAATTTCCAGGCTGTGCAGAGAAAGGTGTCTGAAAAGGAAAAGGAGAGTATTGCCAGAGCAAGAGCTGGATCTCGACTTTCGGTAAGTTTATTCCCCAAAGACCTTTGCAAATTTCAGGATGTTCTTTCCTAAGTTTTCCCCCCCTGACCATTAGCCTTTGTTTACTATTTCCCCAAATAATAAATACAGACATTAACTGCTGCAAAATGCCAGATTAGTAAAACCTGTGTAAAAAAAAAAATGTGTGCATATGGTCAGACTAGAAAGGACTAGAAAGGTTTTAAAAAGTGACAGGTAGGATTATGTACAATTTTCTTTTTTATTATATTGGTCTTTGTTAAAAAAAAAAAAGAAGAAGAAAGAATGAATCTGTTTCTTGGAATATAGTACGCTAGGTTATTTGGACTAGCTTTCTCTTTGAAAAGAATTAACAAATACTAGATGTTATCAACCCAACTTCTCAAAAATACCTAAGATCCATGGGAATATTAAGGTCAAAATGTAAGAGAAAGTGAGAACCTGTAGAAGTGAGCAGAGCACTGAAACTGCTTTTGCACTGAGTATATTTACTGAGGATAAACTTGAACTTCAATTTTTTTGTTGTTGTTGTTAATCCTCACCTGAGGATATTTTTCCATTGACTTTTTAGAGAGAGACAGAGAGAAAAACATTGATTGGTTGCCTCCCGCACACACCCTGACCAGGGCCAGAGATCCAGCTTGCAACTCAGGTTCATGGCCTTGACTGGAATAGAACCTGAGACCCTTCAGTCTATGGGCCAACACACTAACCACTGAGCAAAGCTGGCCAGGGCTCATCATTTTTAAGCCTCTCTCCTGCCCATGTTCTCTCATCTTGTTTAGTATGCTTTCAGTTCTGAACACAAACTGGAATGCAGGTTTTTCTTTCTCACCCATTTTCTAGTCAAGACAGATTGCCAGAGCCCTGTGCCGTCTTGTAGATCCTGTTGGAGCCAAGGGCTGTTGCTTCTTTACACTTTAGCTAAAGAAAGCTACTGTTTTGTGTGTCTGTGACATGTTTCTGGATAACAGCAGCAATAATGCCCTCTGCTTTCTAGGCGGAAGAGAGGCAAAGAGAGGAGCAGCTCGTCTCATTTGACAGGTAAAGGAATTATTCAGACACCTGCTGGCTACTTGAGATGGGATTCTATTCTTTATACTTTTAACCAGGGGTCCTCAAACATTTTAAACAGGGGGCCAGTTCACTGTCCCTCAGACCGTTGGAGGGCCGGACTATAGTTTAAAAAAAAACTATGAACAAATTCCTGTGCATACTGCACATATCTTATTTTGAAGTAAAAAAACAAAACGGGAACAAATACAATATTTGTATTTGCATGTGGCCCGCGGGCCGTAGTTTGAGGACCCCTGCTTTTAACTTTAAAAATCAGTGAAAAAAAACAAGGAAAAATAAAGAGAAACCCGAGGAGGTTAATTTATAATCCACCAAATAAAACAATGTCAAAACCACGGGATTCCCAAAGATCTTTGAATTATTTAAGGAGTAATATCAAGGTGAATAAAAAATATCAGGAACCCTCCCTGATGTCTATATTTTGAGGAGAGAACCTGGCTCATTAGGAATAAGTATGAAGCCACAAATCTACAGATTAAGAGGTCTAAATCATTTTATCTTTAATTGAGATTTATCATTTTCTCACTTAATTCTTCAAAGTTATTAGGTCTCTGTTTACTCATCTCTAAAATGGAGGCAACTCAATTTCTCTTTTCTTAACTTGTTCAAACTGAATCAACTACAGTAGGTCCTCCAATAACACCGTTTTGTTCAACTTTGTGTGTTTTTTTCTGTGGTTTTTTGTTGTTGTTATTGTTGTTTTTAATTTAAATTCTTTATTGTTTAAAGTATTACGTAAGTCTCCTTTTTCCGCCATTGACCACTCCCTGGCCACCCCCACCCCAACTTTGTTTTCTTATAGCCTTGGCGAGATGCCATAGGAACTTAATTTTTGTTTATATCCATTAGCCTATGGTAAAATTGGTTTCATTATATGTCATTTTAAAGTCACAGAACCTATCAACATTGAGTGTTTACTGTAATTCCATAGAAATGTATTTGTACTATTAGTTCAAAACTTAAAATGTTTGGTCATAGATAGATATCTATCTCCCTTCCCTAACCTTGAGGTAGGGATGCTGTATTATTCAGCTTTGTATCTCCAACACATGGAGGAATTTTTTTTCTTAATGTAAGGACAATGTATGATTTATGCATACTGGTGAAAACAAATGCTTAATACTGGATTTTCAAAGTGTTGCATGTCTAATATAATGTATCACATGCCATTCTTTCAAATATGGTACCGAGAAAAAAAGATTTACCACATTTCACTAATTTTTTACTTTAGTTTTCTGTTAAGAGGTATTTAACTCAAAGCATAATCTTTTTTAAAAAATATTTTTTTTATTGATTTAAGAGAGGAAGGGAGAGGAAGAGAGATAGAAACATCAATGATGAGAGAGAATCATTGATTGGCTGCCTCCTGCACGCCCCCTACTGGGGATCGAGCCCACAACCTGGGTATGTGCACTTGACCAGAATCAAACCCGGGACCCTTCTGTCTGCAGGCCAATGCTCTATCCACCGAGCCAAACCAGCTAGGGCTCAAAGCATAATCTTAAGATTTCTGAAGACCAGGAGATGTTTTTCTGTTGGACTGCCAGGTCATTTAGCCTTCCCTTCTCCACCCATTTAGTACCCAAGATACCAACACAGCTTGCACTTTGAGAGTGTCCTGGAAGGGAATGGAGTAGTATTCTTCGTTGACTTCAGATCGCTGCCTACTTTCCTTGTCTAGCAAGTCCTAGCAAGATTGCAGAGTATACCCCGAAATGGAAACAGCAAGGAGTCCCATCCCTCATAATTCTGCTTCATCCCAGTCTTGCCCATGAAAGCTGGGACTTTGTTTTCTTGGTGTTGTAAGCGCTTTGCCTCTGGATATGAAAACTGTGGCCCCAGGGCCTTTGTACTGATTGACACCAGAGGAGTTGGAGCCTGCAGTGTCCTCGGATAGGCTATGCTGGCAGTAGAGATGCTGTAGCTGTCTCAGGCACACCTTTGAGAGGAGGAATCAACTAGAGTGCTTGTCTCCCTGCAGCCATGAGGAGTGGAACCAGATGCAGAGCCAGGAGGATGAGGTGGCCATCACCGAGCAGGATCTGGAACTGATTAAGGAGAGGGAAACGGCGATTCGGCAGCTGGAGGTGAGCGCCAGGTCATGGTTTTTGTTTGACTTAATGTATCAGTGCTGTATAATCCACTTGCTCCTCCCTGACCTTCATCTGTGGCAGTAGTTCCGAACCCTGACAGCACATTAGAACCACTTGGACTTATTTAAAAAAATCCCCAGCTCTTCTCCCTCACACACCATTTATTAGTTTGGACTATGTGAAACTCCTATTTTTTGTAAGTTAAAAATGGGCAAATATCCACAAGAGGCCCTGGGGGTGGGTTGTGTTTTGTTTTTAATTTTTTGACTTTAGAGACAATGATTTGTTGTTCCACTTATTTGTACATTCATTAGTTGATTCTTGCATATGCCCTGGCTGGGGATTGAACCTGCGACCTTGGCATATTGGTACAACGCTCCACCACCTGAGCTAACCAGCCAGGGCATCAGAGATATATATATATTTTTAATTTCCCAGATGATAATATGCATTCAGGGTTGAGACACACTGCCCTGGGTCCCGTCAGTGTCTGGTCTTAGATGAGATACTTCATCCTCAAGTTGGATTATTTAATTTCCTTCAAAGATATTGTATCTTTCTTTTTCTCCCCCACTGCTATTGGTTCTCTAACATTAGAAATACTGTTATAGCAGGGAGAGAGACATATTGAGCAAAGTAACCTAGTGAATGTAATGGGCACTTCACATTCAACAGAATTAAGTCCAAATTCCTTAGCCAGGCTCGATTTTCATGTCCAGTCATTTCCTATATCTAATATACAATCCCTGTTCTAATCTATACCTATAAAAAGCTAAGTTGACTTACACCTGTGCAATACATCTAAAGCTCTCGCTGGCGCCAATCGCATACGTGTTTCAAACTATCATTGTCGATTGTAAATTTGGTTGACACTTCTTTATAGAGAAAGGGCGAATAGCGATATTTACAATATTTCTTCTAATTAATTTCCTTTCACTGTGCATGAATCCATGCGCCAGGCCACTAGTAGGAAATAACATACTCTTATGTGTCTCCTGTCTTCTCATACTACACTTCTGGCCACCAAATGTGTAGGTTTTTCCCCACATCAAGCAATTCTGCCACACCAGCTGGATGTCCTGCAATCTAACTCAATTCTGACACTCTCTACCTGGAGATAGCATCAGATCCCACAGGCTGAGTTCAATCCCACGCTTCAGATACCACTGTCAAGTCCAGGTTGTTACCTGTGCTTCTGACTGACAGGCTCTAAATTGGAGGTTCCTATCACCCCCTCCTTGGTTTTGATTAATTTGCTAGAGTGGCTCACAGAACTCAGGAAAACAAGTTTCTTACTAGATTACTGGTTTATTATAGAAGAATACAACTCAGGAATAGCCAAATGGAAGAGATACATGAGGCCAGCAAGGTATGTGGGAAAGGGTGTGGAGTTTCCATGCTTTCTCCAGGTGTGCATTCTCCCAGGAACACCATGTGTTCACCAACCCAGAGCTCTCAGAACCTATTGTTTAGGATTTCTGTGGAGGCTTCATTTCATGAGCTTGACTGATTAAATGATTGGCCTTTGGGGATTGATTCAGCCTCCAGTACCTCTCCCCGCCCCAGAGTACAGCTGAATGTTCCAAACCTCTGATCACAAGGTTGGTTCCCCAGGCAAGCATCCCCCATCCTTAGGGATTATCCAGAAGTCAAGTCTTTAACATAAACTTTGGTGTGGTTGAATAAGGCTTGTTATGAATAACAAGACACCTTTATCTTTTATCACTTAGGAAATTCCAAGGTTTTAGGAGCTCTGTGATGGGAATGGGACAAAGACCAAATATATATATTTATTATAAATAACAATATTGCATCTGTGTTATAGCCAAACTGGGCTATTTGCTCTTTAACTCAGTTACCTTTCCATTTATATGGCTTCTCTTTTGCTTTAAGGCACAACTCAAGTCCTACCTCTCCTACAAAGTCTTTCTCCTCTACACAATGTTCTATACTATTTATTAGTCATTTCCCATATAAAAGCCCTTCTTTTTTATCTTGTTGTGTGCTGATCCCCTCAATTCCTCCTTAGCTATTAAGTCCTTTTGTATCCACAGCAACTAGTAGTTTGTCCCAACAAAAGCAAACTCTTAGCAAGTAATTGAGGGTGATAGGAAGAACTATTCTTGTCAAGTTATGATTAGGAAGTCATTGCTTTCAAGGTATCAGTTTTTATTGTAGCATTCGGAGAGGCAATGTATTGCAATGAAAAGAGCATGGGTTTTAGAGATGTAATCCGAGCTGCAACACTTAGTTTTCTCACTGAGGAGCTATGTGACTAGACAAATTACATAATCTCTCTGAGCCTCATTATCCTCAAAGATACTTACTTCATAGAGTTACTGAATGATTAATTTAAACTCTTTAAAAAATGTTTTTATTGATTTCAGAGAGGAGGGAGAGGGAGAGATAGATAGAAACATCAATGAGAGAGAAACATCAACATCTATTGGCTGCCTCCTGCATGCCCCCTACTGGGGATGGAGCCCGCAACCCAGGCGTGTGCCCTGACTTGGAAACAAACCGTGACCTCTTGGTGCTTGGGTCAATGCTCAACCATTGAACCACAACAGCCGGGCCTGAATGATTTTTTTTTTTAATATATTTTATTGGTATTTCACAGAGAGGAAGGGAGAAGGATAGAGAGTTAGAAACATCAATGAGAGAAACATCGATCAGCTGCCTCCTGCACACCTCCCACTGGGGATGTGCCCACAACCAAGGTACATGCCCTTGGCCAGAATCGAACCTGGCTACCTTTCAATCCGCAGGCCAACGCTCTATCCACTAAGCCAAACCAGTTAGGGCTGAATGATTAATTTAAATATAAAGGAGGTATAGTAACATAATGAAAACATCATGAACTTTTAATTCTCAGTTTGGCCACTTGTTGTGAGACCTTGACACAAATCATTAAACCTCTCTGAGCCCCAATTTTCTCTTCTATAGAATGAGGATAAACATGTCTCATTGGGTGTCATGAGAACCAAGTAAGTAATAATTCATAATAGCTAACACTATGAAGTGCTTATTACACAGTTCTAAGAACTTTATATATGATTTATAAGCCTTAAAAACACATGTGTTGTCCTAGCTGGTTTGGCTCAGTGGATAGAGAGTTGGCCTGCAGACTGAAGAGTCCCTGGTTCGATTCCGGTCAAGGGCACCTGTGCCTGGGTTGTGGGCTCAATCCCCAGTAAGGGGATGTGCAGGAGGAAGCCAATCAATGATTCTCTCTCATCATCGATGTTTCTATTTCTCTTCCTCTGCCTCCCTCTCTGAAGTCAATAAAAATATATTTTTAAAAAAACAACAAAAAACACATGTGTTATGTTAATAGCTTCAGTTATGTTACTAACTTCAGGTAAGTAGAGGAAATGAATCTCTAACATGTTGCCTAATGTTAGTTAATTGTTTTTGTGTTCCTTAGGCTGACATTTTGGATGTCAATCAGATATTTAAAGATTTGGCTATGATGATCCATGACCAGGGTGATCTGATTGGTATGTATTATTAATACCTTCTGGGGCCCTATATCACCTGCCTATTCTCTCTTTTAGATAATGTAGAAGTAGCCATCTGGAAATTAATCCTAAATTCCAATAGATACACACAAATGTGAGCGGTCTTTTGTCAGAGCTGGTCCATGGCTATTAACAGGTTAACTATTCTGTCTCTTTTTTGTACCCCATGGCTGGCTATAATTTTAATTTAGAGTAGCTTAGAAATTTTTTTCTTGTCATAGGTGTACATAATTTTTTCGCAACCATTTGTGGGTGAGTTGTATACTTTATAACCCTTTCCTGTAAATACTTCAGTGTTTATTTCCAAAGAATAGGGCTATTCTCTTACGAAGTTAGTAACTTTTTTTTTTTTAATACTGATTTTAGAGAGAGGAAAAGGGAGGAGGAGGAGAAAGAAAGAGAGAGAGAGACACACACATTGACCAGTTGCCTCCCATATGCACCCCAATCTGCAACCTGGGCATATGCCCTGACCAGAATCAAGCCGGTGACCTTTTGGTGGTACATGGGATGATGCTTAACCAACTGAGCCACATTGGCCAGGGCCGGAGTTAGTAACTTTTGTTTTCATGGTTGGATAGTTAGAATGGTGGTGGTGAAACCAGGATCCCCATAACATCAGAAGTTTGTTCAGTTTGCTGCCTTGCAAACATCTGAGTTTGATAAAATTTCCACTGCCCTTCTTTTTTGCAGATAGCATAGAAGCCAATGTGGAAAGCTCAGAGGTGCATGTGGAAAGAGCCACTGATCAGTTACAGCGAGCTGCTTACTATCAGGTAAAAGGAGGTACCAGAGAAAGTCACTCTGTGCTACAAGCTTTATGGGCCATTAGAAAACACCAGCGATTTTCAACCTTTTTCATCTCATGGCACACATAAACCAATCTCTAAAACTCTGCGGCCGACCAAAAAATATAAAATAGGTATAATTTAGGTTGTTTGGTGTGTTGTTATTTTTTACAAAAAATTGGTATAATTTTGATTCATTCATACCAGACCGCTATTGTTGTGTTGGCTGTTGTAATTTTTTAATTTGACAATCTAAGGGAAAAGAGGTCAGGTATTGCATGTTTTAAAAATTCTTGCTGCACACCAGTTGAAAATCGCTGGAATACACTGACACATTGAGAACAGCTGCAGCCTTTTTCTTAGGCTTAAGTTGGAGACAAGTAGTCATAATTGCAGTGCCAGTTCCGTTTTTAGTATTTTCCTTTGCAGAGAGATCTACAAAAAGGCATCAAACCTTGAATAAACTTATATAAAAGCTTCTTAACTACCGAGCTAACCCCATATGCTAACATGATACCTAAATTTGGTTTAAGGCTAATTTTATATCCTAAACAGTTGAAATACAGGGTTTCAGTTAGGGTAACAATTGGTACAAAGAAGAACTTTGCAGATACTTTCTGTTGACTTTGCCACAGAGGATGGACATAAAATCAACTCTGACTTCCGTTTATCTATGAATATATAGGGGTTTGTCATTTTGGGGTTATTTATCTATGAATAAATAGTTAATCGTTCTACTTTCTGGAAAGTGATATTCTCTTACATATTATTTGAAACCGGTTTTATTACGTATCTGAGTCTTTATCTGTGTACAAATATTGTGGATGAGGTCCTTCTCATTTCTCAATTGGGTGTTGCATGACTTTTTAGAAACAAACAGCATTTTAATAATTTTCTATATTCCTAGGATAGCTGTATTTTACCTGGGAATGTTCTTAAAGAAATTTGTTTAATAATAGTGTTTCCTTTTAAAAACTGAGTGATGACTTTAGTATCTAACGGCAAATGAATAATTAAGTAAATTATCTATATCCACTCAATGTTATATTATGTGGAAATTAAAGATGTTTATGAAGAGTTTATAATAACAAAATTTTGATGCTAAAATGTTATGTGAGAAAAACATCAAACATCATATAGTATGATCCCAATTATATCAGATAACAATTTGCATAGATAAATGAGGAACTATAATCAAAATGTCAACAGTTTTATCTGTGGGTGATTATTTTGTTTTCTTTCTGCTTGTCTGTATTTTTTACATTGAACATGAAATTTTACAATAGGTATAAAACCTTTATTAATATATACATGCACAAATAACTTACTTCATTGCACATAATGCCTAGCAGTATTGGTATAAACTTGCTAAATTATTTTTGGGAACCTGGAATTAAAACTTGCACTAATTCCTAGCTCTGGTAACTGTTAAGATTTTGGGCAGTTCTCTGCATATTCACTCATGGATAGAGTTGATTTTGAATTACCAGGAGGCAGATTTATGAAGCACTCTTAGAATAAAAAATTTCACCTGTTTCATGAGTGTCTTCTTAACATATTTCTCTTCTCAGAGAAAATCTCGCAAGAAGATCTGTATCCTGGTGCTTGTCCTGACAGTGATTGCTGCTATCTTCGGACTTATTATGTGGTTAGTTTATGGAAAGTGATTGCCTCAGAGCTTTCTCCCACGGAACTGTTTTCAAGGGCAAATACTTGCTGGAGTCTGCCAGAACAAACTGATCACAGAAGAGAACATACATCAGAACGTCCTGGAATAACTTAGTTAGAAACTAACTACTAACCAGTCCTTGGAATCAGTGACCTATGGAGACAGTATTTATCAATTTATGTATACATTTTATTGATTTCTCAAATTAGGAATTAATTTATGTAGATTTTGCTTTCTCTTCTATTCTGATTTACCCTTCATCCCACGTATTTACTGAAAATTCCATTCTAGATATTCTTGTTTTAACAGGGACACTACAGACTTGTAAATTTCTTTTTATGTGTATACAAGATTTACCTTTTTACTAGCAACTGACACAGAATTACTTTTTAGCACCCAGCATATTGGAGTCTGTCAGAAACTGTATAATAAGCTGGCAATTTTTATTATTTAACATTTTAATTTGAATTTGTAAGAAGCCTATTCTCTGTCTGCTTTGAAAGATTTTGGCAATGTATTTAACTAGAAGGTAAGAACTGCACATGTGATCCAGATTAAATGAGAAGTATCGATTTGAGCTGGCCAGTTGTGGGTTTAACGTTTACTTTATTATCTGCTAATGTCATCCACAGTAGTTCATCCATATACACACTAAACCATCATGTTCACTTTTTGAAGAGATTAATTTAATTGACATTACTATACTCCAAGGAGTTCCTTTCCCACCTGCTTATATAGAAAGGGATAATTAGACAAAGCATGCTTTTGGAAAGCAAATAGGAATTGTTTGGAATGATTTGATCATTTTGTTGGTGTTCAGTTGTGGTTCTGCATTCCTGGTGAATGATGATGTTACTGTCAAAACACTGTCCTCCCTTATAAGGGTCACTGGGCATTTGATGGCAGGAAGATTCGAAAGGCTAGACTGAAGTTGGTTTAAAATTTAGTCCTGTGAACCTGGCGATAAAGCAAAGAAAAGGTTCATTTTTGTAAATAATACTGGTTTGGAATAGTGATATTAGACTTATCTTAATTTATGAACAAGAAATTAATCTATGCATAGTTTTAGACAAAAAATGTTTCAATAAAAGATTGTTGTCTTGTAATATAAATATTGTTCACTTCCCTTTTTAACAGGTTTAGAACAGTTAAAGGGAATGTAATTTCTTTAGGCTCTCACATAATTTATGTGAATTGGACCAACAATTTCAGTTCATCTTTTAGTGAATTAGAGGATTTGACCATGCTGGATATATTTATATTAATTTCTTCCAATCCCTTTAATGTTACTTAATCTTCATTTACCAAGCTAATGTAAATGGTAGGGAAACAAGAGCCCAAATGCATTCTTGCACCATTCTACCCACTTAATACAAATAAACATTTAAAAAACTTTTGTAGTAAGTTTTTATGAGTTAAACCTCCTAATGTGGTAGATTTTAGGTAATGTGCTATTCTTTAGAAAAATTGAGACCTGCAAGAAGACTGGGAATCAGAGGAGGATTGATTTGGGGTGGAGTTGGTGTTACTGCAATCCTTTCCTTGGAAAACAGGATAGAGCTACTGGGGTGTCACAGTGGCCAAAGCAGCAGCTTCAGAGCTAATTTCTTGGTTCTATGATCACTGCCCCTTAAGCTCCAAATTACAGCTGGACTTGGATACATCATTTGTAACATTCCAAGCAAGAAAAAAGTCTTGATCGTGAAAAACTGTTGCACTCTGGGTAAAATGAAGCCACCATAGTTCTGTTCTGTAATACTATATAATCCGGTGGTGGTGGTAATAGTGGCCATAGGTAGCAAATAGAATTGGAATGGCCTAGAATTTGCATGGCCTGAAATTTGTAGCAGTTACCAAGAGGTTCTGCTAGATGGTCCTAAAAACCTATTTATTTATAGACGCCTTATCTATGTTTTATTCATCATTAGGGGCACCCTGGTCTAGGACAATTGTTCTGAACCATGGCTTCACATTAGAAACTAGAAAATTACTGATACCTGGGTGCCCCTGCTGCAAGATTCTAATTTTGTTAGTTTGGAATATAAGCTAGGCATAGGGACTTTTAAAAGCTCCAGATAACTCATGAGAACCATTGGTCTGGAGGTCAAAAACTAGACTGGGATACTGAAGGCCTGGAGAATCTCAGCTCTGCCATTAACTTGCTGTAGGTATTTAGACAAGTCATTTAACCTACAGACCCCCAAGTTTTCTCAACAGCTCTCTTCTAGCTGTGAAATTCTCTGATTATAAGGACCATAGGAGTTCGGTCCAAACATGCAAATTCTGTTTGCCTCTGTATTCCTTTCCTTTTCCTCTTATCTCCTTCCTTCATGTAATGTTTTAGAAATAGTGGACAGATCTAGCTGTTCAAGTGAATTAAAATTGTACTACTATATACGGTAAGGTAGAAATGTCGGGCTGGCCACTTTCTCTGGAAATATACCAGAATAAGAACTTCCAGCTGATGCTTCCAGGGTAGGTTTGTCTTTTGTCAGTACCTTGTGAACTTTTCATTAACCACCCTGATAAATGAAGCCTCCTGCTTATACTATCTATATACACGTTTTGTTTTTAAGACAGTTTTCTAACATCAATATGCTAATGTCTTTAGATTCGAGTCTAAGGAAGTCTCAGTGTCTAAGAAATGAATCTATCTTTGTTGAGATACCAAAGTCCAAAAGCAGCTAGTCTATCAGTCTTCCCATTTCAAAAAGTTAAGGGTCTAGACCAGGGGTGGGCAAACTTTTTGACTCGAGGGCCACAATGGGTTCTTAAACTGGACCAGAGGGCCGGAACAAAAGCATGGATGGAGTGTTTGTGTGAACTAATATAAATTCAAAGTAAACATCATTACATAAAAGGGTACGGTCTTTTTTTTTTTTTTTAGTTTTATTCATTTCAAACAGGCCGGATCCGGCCCGGGGGCCGTAGTTTGCCCACGGCTGGTCTAGACTGCTGCCCTCCAATTCGCTGATCTATATTGACATCATTGGTGCCCAAAGAAAGAACATTTTGCTTTATAAGGCCTAGGTAAGTATAAGGTGCCATTACATCACATGCTAGTGTGAATGTCAGCTGTGCTGAAAGCAGGGAACACGACCAAGGAGTAAAGACAAGGGTAAGAATCCAACTTCAGCTTTCTTGGGTGTATAGTCAGCAATAGAAGGGATTAAATAATGGACCACACACAAAAGCTGAGAAATTGAAAGGCAAAGTTGACATAGATGTTATCAGGTCACTCAAAGCTAGAAATGGCTTCAGCAGCACCTCATGCCTGAAAGGGGCATGGAACCTCAAAGGCCTGCACAGTCTCTGTAGATAAAAATGAACGTGTTCTTTTCCGTTACACTGAAAACACTTGAATCATGTCCTTGTGCTCAAAAGAAGAGTCAGCCAGGCCGGCGTGGCCCAGTGGTTGAGCGTCGACCTATGAACCTGGAGGTCACAGTTCTATTCCTAGTCAGGGTATATCCCAGTTGTGGGCTCAATCCCCAGTGTGGGGCATGCAGGAGACAGCCAATCAGTGATTCTCATCATTGATGTTTCTCTCTCCCTCTCCCTTCTCTGAAATCAATAAAAAAAATATTTTATTTTTTAAAGGAGTTAGCCTCTTTTCTTGAGACCAAGTTTAGAATTTGTATTTCCCCATCAGCCTAGTCTTTGGAATCAAGATTGGAAAGGAGGCTATACACAGGTCAGCGGATAAGTCATCTGATCAGTTAACATCCTTGCTGGATAAATTTATTGTGCTTTTGAAAGTGATTCTCCTACCTGCCTAAGAGTTGATAATTTCAAAATCCAAGTTAATATTATGTTGCAATTAAATCTTGATTCCTGGAGAGATGTCATTAAGGACAAAATCTTTTGAACAGGCTGATGTTCAATTTAAAATCTAGAGGACCAGCAGCAAGGAAATCAAGAAAAGAAATTATGTGCAGTGCCTCTTTCTGGTTAACAATTTTCAATTTAAAAAGAAAAAAACAACAGGTCAGATAACCCAAACTTTCTACAAAAGTGAAAAAGTGTTGGGCATCATTTGCATGATAATATATCAGCATCTAATTGTGAGACAGTGGTGATTAGAGCATGGATGGCCTGTGGCATCATACAGATTTAGGTCTGAATCCCACTCACCCTCTAGGGCAGCGGTTCTCAACCTGTGGGTCGCGACCCCTTTGGCGGTCGAACGACCCTTTCACAGGGGTCGCCTAAGACCATCCTGCATATCAGGTATTTACATGACGATTCATAACAGTAGCAACATTACAGTTATGAAGTAGCAACGAAAATAATTTTATGGTTGGGTCACAACATGAGGAACTGTATTTAAAGGGCCAGAAGGTTGAGAACCACTGCTCTAGGGTGAGGCTGGGCAACTCAATCTGTTTGAGCGTTCAGGGAGCATACCTACCTCAAGAGTGTTGTGAGGATTAAATGAGATGATCCACATAAAATATCTACTTGCCCAGAGAAGCAAGCACCCAACAAACAGCGATTACAACTAGAGCACCTGCTCATGGTCTCTTTCAGGCAGCTGTTGGCCTAGGGCAGGCCTGGAATCCTCATGCTTCCTTTCACGATTCAGTCACCAAGACCAAAATCCCGAAGGGGCCACACCTTGATTAGCCATTGAAGATCTGGATGTCTGCCTCTGATTGGATCCTTCTTCCCCAGCACGTCCAGACTTTTCATAAATAGACGAGATGACCCCCTAAAGCAGATTCCCAGATAATACACATAAATCCACAAGGTCCAGATTTGGGTTAGGAAGAGGAAGCGAGCATGCAACTCTGCAGAGAAGGGCCGTAAGAGAAACGGAATGAGTGACTACTGTAATTTCTAAGCTCTGCGCTCTAGTTCCTCTCTAGATTGGGGTGCAAGCCTGTAGCAAGGACGGAGTCACAAGATTGAAGAGTCCAGCAGAGTGTTTGCAGGAGGACGGGCGGGAGACCGATACCCGCCCCACCCCGCGCCCTTATAAGCACCTTTTCTTCAGACACCTCCCAGCCAGGGGAAGCCCTAGTCTTCGGAGACACTGACAAACACCTCCAAATCCCATCCCCGTTTCCACCGCCGCTAGAAGCGCCCCCTACGTGCGTGTGCGTGTGTGCGCGTGCGTGTGTGTGCGCGCGCACGCGGGCGCGCACGCACAGGCTACTGGGATGCCGCTTCTCCCCTCCGAGTCTTCCAGTTTCCCGGCGTGCTTCGGGCCCGCCAAATGGGCGGGGGGAGACGCAAGATGGCGGCAGCCACGAATTCCGGCTCCAGCCTCCCACTGTTCGACTGCCCGACTTGTGAGTGGCGAGGAGACCAGGGCTGGAGTGGCCTGGGCTGGCCTGGGCTGGCCGGGCGGCCCATTTCCCACAGCGGGCCGAACGGTTTAGACGTTTTGGGACTGACTGAGGGAGAGCAGTTCGTCGGGCCGGGCAGCGTGGGGAGGAACCGGGAGCCCAGGCCCAGGCACTGAGGAACCCAGAGTTGGGGGCTCTGAGGCGCTCGCTGACGCAGCCCCCCCGGCGGTCCGCTGGTTGCCTGGGCGTTTCGGGGCCGTGAACTTACCTCCACTCCCGACTGGATCGAGTGCTCTTGGGGAGCAGCGTACCGCGCCCCTGCTCTCTGTCCCGAACGCGCGCGAGCTGGCTTCCCGGACCGAGCCCGCCGCGGAGCCCGTGCCCCGCCGCTGTGCTGCTTCCCTGGTCCAGCACTTGCCTCTCCCGGACTGGGAGCCCCCTGAGCGCAGGGACGGCGCCGACCCACCCCTGCATCCGCAGCGACCGGCGCTGGGATTGTTGGAAGGACCCCTTCCATCCTTTCTCAAGTTCTTGGGAAGAGTGGAATAATTAATTTCGCCTTTGAGTAGAGTACAAGATGAGTAATTATGCATTGCCTTGAGTTAGAGCTATTTCAGCAGTAACTCACCGGTGGGTTAATAATGTTATTCTTCTCTGCCTCCCGCTATGTTCAGATCCTCAAGGGCAAGGCGGCTGATGCATCCTGTATATTACCAGCGCCTAGGCCTGAGCCAGGCACATAGTAGGAGTTCAGAAAGCATGTTTTGGATGTAACATTGCTTTTCCTCTTTCCCAGACAAAAAGGCTTTTCCCAATGCACTGTTTTCAGCAACTGCCATAGAGGAGTTGGGGCGGGATTGTGAGATGACTATGTTGCTCTTCAAATTAGACGGAATTTGGATTGCATATTTTATGCAAATATGCAAAAGGACTCTGGCAAGATTGTTCCTTTTTTTTCAAACTTCAAAGGAGCAAGCACAGGAAGCAAGGGAATGTGTGCCTGTTTCCTGGGTTCCTTTGCACTTTGTAACACCCAGTTGCTTCAGTCTACAAATTTTATGTCCATTTTGGTTCCCTGCTACAGTGATTTCCGATGTTGGAT